AGTTTCTGGGCAGACATAACTAATATAAGTATATGTACCTTTGGTATCCATAGGAAGACATATAAGAGTCTTGTTTTGATGGACAGGACCATCACCAGTATTGGCTAACAGGCACATCCAATCAGCTTGCATCCCGTTTGTTATCCACATTTTCCCGCCATTAATGACATAATCATCTCCCTTCTTTACAGCTGTTGTCTTAATATCTGTAATTGAGATTGTAATTATCACCATGGCGATGGCGTATTCACATTATTTGTGTTTTATGCTCTATTAAACTACATTTGACACCATAAGTTACAATGTGTCATAATTTTGCAGTATTGCACTGGGTATTTGCATCTAGCTACCATATTAGGAAATGCGAATTCCAAATATGGAACGATTACATGCATAAGCATTCTCTAATAATAAAAACAAACAAACCGGACTCCACACAAAGAAGTTCGCTGAATCTGTTCTAAACGTTTTGGATTTCAGCATTCCCATGATGTATCCATGAAAGGAAAAAAATGTACAATAATCGTCATACTCGCTTTACTGCCTTCGTTCATACTTTACAGTATCCTCGTAATAACCTCATATTACAAGAAATACAATACAACTATCCCCAGTATTAGAGGGTCAAAGTTCAAGTAGGCATTTGCCTTAGATACTCATCCTATCTTCTCATCCTAAATAAATTTGCTCACAGATTAAATTATTTTTCACAGAATATCAGAAAAAAATTATATACTAGTAATTTGTAAGCATTCTACAGGTGATATGTTTAATGATTTAACTGAGCAAGGATCAAATAAAACGAAAATAGTGATTTTTCTGAAAAACATTAACCCCCAGCACATGAATAAAGTGAGTGCAACCAGCCAGTGGTTTTAGCAAACTCACCAAGGGTGGGAGTCACCCACTGTATTAATGTTTAACACTAGGTTTGATTTGAGCTTTGGGACAGAGACAGCAGTAGCTTCACTCACACCAATAAACACACAGAATAATAAGTACAACTTACTTACTTACTTACTATATCAGAGCCAGAAGTAGATTCACTCACACCAATACATACACAGAATAATAAGTACAACTTACTTGCTACATCAGAGTCAGCAGTAGATTCACTCACACCAATACATACACAGAATAATAAGTACAACTTACTTACTACAATAGAGCCAGAAGTAGATTCACTCACACCAATACATACACAGAATAATAAGTACAACTTACTTGCTACATCAGAGTCAGCAGTAGATTCACTCACACCAATACATACACAGAATAATAAGTACAACTTACTTGCTACATCAGAGCCAGAAGTAGGTTCACTCACACCAATACATACACAGAATAATAAGTATAACTTACTTGCTACATCAGAG